TTGGCGGATGCCAATCGAGTCTTTTGTATGCGTGCCGGTAATTCATCTGTGACGCGTCCGCCAGGTGAGACGTAGCTCCCCAGATAGCACATTTTTTCGACTTCCTTTACTGCTACCCTAGTTGGAGCGAGGCTGGGTACTGGACCAACCCCGTCTTGTATCAACGTTTTACAATTTTTTCACACTAAGCTGCCAAACTCTCCAGAAAAGCTTGCAATTTACCCAGCGGAACATTTTTGTCTGCATACTCCATATCAGACAATCTAAACCCCAGTAACAAATCAATGCCACTGTCGTCGCACGTTGATAGGGCTGTTTCAGGACCAAAATTTATAACAAAGTTAATTAGAAACGGAGAGGGACGGTAACTCCGTCGAACACCATGTTCTGTAGTAAACTCGGGTGCAAATGTACCGTGAGCTCGGACGCGGCTTGGGCTCGGATTTGTTAAGTGCATGCACCTCTTTTCAACGACATTGCAAGCGGAATCAATTCAGGCAAATGCACTCCTGGACGGGAGGTCGACCAAAACAATTAGCTGGTGTTTTTTATGCGGTTATGCTTGTGCCTGAGATGATACTTTCCATCATATGCCGATAGATTCACTAACTCGAAAACACATTACTGAGTGAAATTTTCAGCCGCCGTTCACTTGCATCTTTACCTGACAAAACTATATCAAATATCAATGGCTCGTCACAACTCGCAAGCCCGTCCACTCTTGGTTCATCCGGTTTAAAGAAAACGCTTTTCTCATTCTTCGCAGCTGAATCCATCTGCCTTTCGCTTTGTCGGGAATATGAAGTTTGAGTACTCAGACGCAGAGCGTTCAAGTAGACCAAATGTGTTTTATCACCGTCCGTTAAGTCCTTGCAATCACTGGCACCTGGGACTCGACCAGGCAAAGGTCAACACAAAGCGACCGGCTCTCCAGACCACGAACATACAAACCATTTAGGAGGGTGTGTGTGTGGACGGGTTTGTCAAATATGGCCCCACATTACCATTTGACACATAGTTCTGTCGGATAAAAGCTCAACTGAGCTGCAGCTAAAAATTCCACTCAGAAGTGTGTTTTCGTCTTAGTGGACATGGTTCATAGTTTGCTTTTTATCGCAAGCGCACTTTACAAGGTCAGTAATGACTTAACCATTTGTACATCTACATTCATTCCTCATACTAAAGTATAGGGCACCGTTTATTTACCATAATGATCAGAAGCTTTCAGCATAGCATCAACGACAAGCCCTGTTACCATACCAAACCTTGGTTAAGCGGAGTCGTGAATATTGGAAACTGGTGTTTTTTCACTCCCCCAAACTGTCTAACTGTCAGTTCGTCAAACCGGTTACGGCTTCGAACCTAAGCTTCTTATTTTCTTTATTCAATGATATCACCCTTCTCAGTAGAGGCTGTGAGCATAAATTACGCGAAGGCATTTCGAAATGAACCCAAGATGTCTGTTTCCCGAGGCACCAATTCCGATCAGACTGCGGCGATTGCAGCTTATCACTCAATGTCTCCCTTCATTGAATTGGATGATCCTTTGCTTTAATATTTGAACGTTGGTAGTCAACCTTTATCTTATATTTGTAACTTTAATGCCTCTGTAGGATCCGGTTTACGTACTGTAGGCAATAAACCACCGCGAACGGAACATAAACTGTCAGCCCTCGTTTCGTAGCCGCCTGTTTGAAAGGCTTCAGTCGATCGCGACTGTCTCGCTTGTTATTCGTTCTAATTTTTTTTACACCTTATTAAGAAAAGTGAAATGGTCTTGAGTGCTAGTAAGAAAAAGACCCTCCATGCGAACCGCAACAATGGATTTCCTTTTATGTAAACACTGAGGCATCACAGTCTATCTCCGTATCTATATCAATAATAATTTAAAAACATTATTGTCACCAACAGAAGAAACGACACATTTGCATACGAGTTTTTCAACATAGTCAATTTTACATACATATTGTGATCTCTACTAACTAACTCTCCAACTAGAACTAGAGCGATCTCGTGTTTTCTTTTTATTACCGAGATTTTTTATTTATCAAGTTCTTTGTTTTAAACTAATTACTCGAACTACTTTTGAACTTGAAACCTTTACTATCTCAGTATTTTCTCCTCATAGAACTATGGAGAAAACCGGATTTCTAAGTACAATCACTTTTTGTACCCCCTTAGGGAACGCAAAAAGAGACGCTTATCCGAATGGGATGGACATGAAAGCAAAGGAGAGACAGACAAATGGAATCCCAGTGGCTCGATCACAAAAGAACCAAATCGACGCCGGGACGAGTTGAAGGACTGGATGGAACAAGCCCAGCAGAACTCCTTTAATAAATCTCATGAGACCTCAGTCGGGTTAAGTAAGTTATCTCATTTTGTGTGAACTGCATTCTCGTTGGATTATTAGATCAGTCCGATATCCATTCTCACGAGAACACTTTTTTAGTTCATGGATTTGTCTGGTAATTTTTACATCATAATATCATGCCGTTGTTTTTATTCAGTTTTTAAGATTCCATAAACCAGTAACCGAAATTTTGATGTACTTCGTTTCGATTGTCTAACTTATTCCTCTTCACAGTGGCCTTTTTGACATGCAGTCCCTTATCGTGATTATTATGCCTTGGGCTTGTTCCAGTATTTGGTCCATCTGTTAGTATCCGTAATCATACTACTAATGAGTAGTGTTATCGTCTTTGAGGAAGTTCCACAACTGATTAGAAGCGCTCGTCCCTACTTCCATCACATTTAATTTGCTTACGCTTGTGGCCCTTGCCAGAGCTCTTCTTACAGCCCGCCGAGGTGGAGAAACTGCACGATTTTGAAGAAGAGTGTGTTGATGACTATTGGCGAAGAGTCCAAAAGAATGAAAAATTGGAAGCAGAACGCCGTGAGGATGCCATCAACAAAAAGTAAGCCGTAGTTGAGTTCTCAGCATTCCAATTTTTGCAATCTCCCTCTTGTTTTACTCATTCTAAAGTCCATGCATGTATTTGGATAAATTTTCCCTCTTTCTTTGTTTTGTTTTATTTCAATCGCACTTCAACCGAAGACTGGATCATTTACAATTCCGTATTGGCGAGATTCACATGCATCAGAATCATCTACGGGGCATGGTTCACGTGATGGAGGATCATATGCGCACGTTGGACGACAGTTGTGTGACAAGACCTCATGCCACCACTCAAGCGTCCGTTCCAGTTGACTACGATTACACTGCTCCCGCAAGCCCTCAACCAATGCAGAAGGATCTAATATTCGCCCAGACATTGTTGTATCTAATGGCTCATAATTCGAATCAGACAAGTACTCCCGGTACGTATTGTAAAGTCGTTTGAATTTGCTCCACAGTGTTTATCTTAGATGTTAACGAACCACTTGGTCTAAATCTACTGTGTGCTGTGCGCCGTTTTACGCTCATACACTGTACAATGTATGTGAAATTCTCGCCTACGCGATTCTCTTGTCGTATGAAATAAATGAAGCACTCTTTTCCTTCACAGAATCACCGACTCAACCTAGCGCAAACTTGACCGAGATTCAAAACTATTTGATGAACTCTTTGCAAACTCAGATTGCTCAAATGAAACAGGCTGGAACGACACCGCCACCGAACGCATTGATTCGCCCTCAAATTTCCACAAAATCGTGTTCCCGCGATCGTTCTCCTTCTCCAACTGGTCGCACGGGTCGGCAACATCGCAGCGGACGGACTGAGCACCGGCTTCCTTTGTCTGCTCCTAGCTGGCGAGGAGATACCATAGCACTAGAGTGAGCTATTCCATATCTTATTCTCCCACTTTCATTTTTATTCTTAGCTTATATCCCTTGTGGGGTATTTTTAGTTCCTGCGTCTTACTCACAGCCCACTTTGGTATGATTTTATTGTACCACTTTACTCAACGACTTACTAAGGTATTTCAATGATGTTACGCTTTGGACGCATTTGCGAGTGGTGATTTTAATTTGTATACACTTTTATTCATAATGGAAACCTCTTTTAAAAATCAGTACGCCTATTCTCTTCTTCGTGAGCCAACGGTTACTTAAGTACTACAGACTTTTCAGTAATTTAAAGCCAAACAACAAAACTTAATGTGCCTTAGCGCATAGTTATTGCTTCGTCGACCGTTGTGAGACTGGTACTAGCTAAAGTTTGGTGTTAGTTTAGAGCGTAGAAAATTGCTGATTAGCTTATCTATTGCTTTCCCCTGCAACCCTAACCCTGATTTTTTCCGCAGAATCAAACGTCCTGTTCATCTTGGCCGTTCGCTCCATGCATCGTATCGTGGTCAAGATTATGCCTATCGTGAATATACTACGATTTGTGACGAGATTGATTTATCTTGTTTGAGCTTTGTAAGTTTTCTTTCTTTGTGGTTCCGCTTTCCGCGTAGCACTAACAGATCAATTGATTGAGAGTATATTGATTAAAAAAGCATTTCCACTATGATTCCTGTTCGACTGGAGTCAGGATTCTACACAATGCAAAGTGCTTAAAAAGCACCTTTTCAATCGTCATCTTAAAAATTTAAGAAGCTTTCGTGTGCCTGTTTCTCGTATATCCGGTACATGTGGGTGAAATGACCAGTGAGATCCGTGATACAGCAATCCACGTCTATCTCACCATTTAGTACGCACTTCAAATCCTCGTTTCATGTTCCGTTATAATAACTGTGAACTGCAGTGTCCAACGGTTCTTTTGAAACTTGTCTCAGGACATAGTTACTTGTACTTCCAAAACGCCAAGAACTATTTGACCAAACACCTTACTAATAACAGCTTTTTTAAGATCTGATGTGAAAACTTTGCAGCTTACCCCAAGGTGTCTAGTGATCGCTTTGTAACTAGGGTATTTGAACAGTGTTCATATTTCTCCAAACATTCACGAACTGAATGGGTTATTCAAGGGCAAATGAACCGGTGCTTTCCAAGCTGCTGATGTCACTGATTCCGCCCAGGTTGCTATCGTATAGGTTCAGACTTTGTCAAACAAAGTGTTCGTGTTCACATGCGACAGAACATCAACTCCGCCAGTCAAGCAGCCGCAGTATGCCGAATTCCATCAATTGGACGAATTCATGTGCAGCTTCTCATCCACTCAACTACACAAAAAGAAGAAGAGTGACCGAACACTACGGCGTGGGTGAACGAGCTAGTGAACGAATCACACTCGGCGGGACAGAATAAATTGCTGCCTAAACGTCGCACATCAGCGTCCCGTGTTAGAGACTGCCGCTTCATCTAAATGGGCAGCAAAAAAACAACAACCGAAATCGCATGGTTAATGTTTTTACAAACTGAAATTGAAGCGGTTAGAGACTGGACATTAACTGCACCTGACCACGGTGTTAAAAAGTGTTTTCCTCACGCAAAACTTTCAGTTGCTTTAGTTTGAAGAGATTATTATAAATAAACGGTACAAACCAGTACAGTGTGTCTTTAGAAAAAGTTGTTTGTAACTCGTGCCTTGTCTTAGTAGAAAAATCGACAACTTTTTTGCATCAAAAGCTCACCAACAGTAACTGTAACTTATCATTCTTTCGATATCCTGATAGTCTAAATGAATCAGCTTCCTGTAGTGCATAAGCACAACCAAACTCTCTCCTTGTTCTCTCTTTTCATCCTCACCACGTAAGACAGTAATTATTATTTCGTCAACAGATCAAAACAACTTCAACTGCATGATCCTCGTATTTGAATTGTTACAAGTCGGTAGGCCCTACCTTACTCGGTGACAATGCACCAGCGAATCAAAGCACACCGAGTCACTTGGCAGCAGAGCGGTTACTCATGTGGTATGTTCTTTGCACCCTCGTGGGTGAAGATGCTGCGACGAGATTGGCAGGAACTTGTTCTTGCCTTTTCGTTGGGTTCTACATAACCCTTTCATTGCATAGAGCAACGGTTATTGCCGTGCTGTTACCCGTTTGTGAAAGTTGACCTCTCCGAGCAGACCGTGTCCAACTACTACCGGTTTTCGACTGTCGTTGTCTGCGTAGCATTGCCTGAGCAACAATGAAATCATACGCCGTATGTTGAGCAAAATCATTTTACTGCATAGTCTGAGGTGATTTGGGCACGTCCTACAAAATCCTGGGAAA